TAGGGTAGGCTGGTATATATAAGAGGGTGACAACGTGACGCAATAATGTGTGTGTAGATAGTGAGTAATCGAACTGCAGTCATAAGTATTGTTGACGTTCGTTGATATAGCGTTTGTTATAGAGCGACTGTTGAAAATAAGTGTATCGTAAAGTTGTATTCGGAAAGAATAAACCAGTTTTATTAAGTAAGGACTTGTGTCGCTAAAGTTTCGTCGGAACGAAGTTACGGAAAGTTAATTAACGAACGGAGACGTAACACTAGAAAGAAACGTTAAGGAGGAAATAAACTAGTTTGTTATCGTTACGTAAACTGAAATTTGAATAATTTATTTTCACCAGATAATTTAAAAGTAACTGTAGTATGTTAAATATTACACACTATATTAATTTTTTTGTGCGTGTTTGATCTGTGTAATTTGACCAATGCAGTACTGAAATCTCCCTTTAAAGAAGCTTAGTCGCATTTTAATTTATAGTAGTAGTTTAATATCTATATCATCCAGAAGTTCACCTTTATGCTAAACATCCGTAAAAGTTTAGATTATTTCGATCTGCTGTTCTGATGCCAGAAAATTAAAGGCTTCGGGGGTAATATCCACGATATTTTTGATTAACAATAGTAAATCCATACAGAGTTATAGTTTTTGTTATTATGGTTTACCAAATTCACGCCACTCAAATGTCCGGCATTAGTATTTATTGCATTGATAGAGCAATTACATTTAAAGCAAGTATACCTTATTTAGAACTTATCCCAACCCTCCCCCTTTTCTTTGTTCATTGGCTTCCTTCTACACGGGAACACTGTATTATGGCAATCATCCGAATTTCCGAGTCTTGACGTTTCTGCACACAATTCGAGTTACATAATAGAAAATGAAGATATTTTTAACAATTGCCTCGATATTTGAAATACCGCAACATATGAATAGCCAAAGATAAATTCGAGTTTTATTGAACATTTTCGACTTGGTAGTTTACAATAATCTTGTTCATGTAACTTTGTTAATAAGTAAGTTTTCCAATTTTAGTGAAGTGAATACTAGAGCATAATTGTTCAATATTACCTCCAAGATAAATTAAACGAGAAATAGGACTTAATCGAACGCAACGTCGTATTTATATTACACACAGCATCATAAACCAAAAATACAGTAACTAACGAAACTGATGTTCTACTGTAAAGAGCCGATGATCTCGAAATGCTGATTTTCTCTTTAAACTACTATGCTTAAACATGTATCCTTTCTTTTCACACACACTACTGTTATATCATTAAGTATTACCAATATAATTTTTAATTTCTAGCGGAATAATAGATGCAATACTTATATCCGAATTATAAGCATACCAAACTCGACACTGTGGATGGCTTTTTAAAATAAATTTGTACTTCGAAAAATAAACAAACAAGATATAACGCCAATGTGAAAATATTTAATTTAGAATTCAATTCCTTATCACTCAAACTCAAAGCGTCATGTTAAATTAAACATAAATGTTAAAAACAAAATTACAGATAAAGAATATCCTAGGAACAGTTGTTATTCACTGCAGTTTATACAGAGAAAATATTTATTCCATTTAATTTAAATACCCTATTTTTTAGCGATACTTACATTCTGAATCAGACATGGTATGGGTTATTTTTCTCAGTCTATTTTTCTTACAACCCTAGAGTAATACCATTCACCTCAGTACTGCCGGTTTCCCAAAAGACAATTTATACGACTAAACACCACAAGGGGGCACCACACATTAGAGATTTCGGGCGGAGCCACAAATATTACGCGTACTTAAATGTCGCAATGAAGTTTGTCTGCTGCAAATGACAACAATTGATACAATAAATTAATTTATTTTGTAGGAAAAAAATAGTACCTAAGTTATTCATAACTTTTTCTTTTTATCACAGGAATTACTTACAGCACCAGATGTAAAATTTCACAAATTTGTTATCGTTGGGGAAAATATTAAATAGGTGTTAGTTTCTCAGTTCTCAATAATGTTGTAATAATAAGCGGTTGAGGAAAGGTAGGATTTTTTTTTAGTGTTGGATATACAGGGCTAATAAGAGCATTTGAATACTTTAAAACTAAAAACAAAAATTATATCTATTACAATGATAATCTATAAGTTTTTGAAGCATAACTAGTAAGCAGCTTATTTTTTGTTGTTCTTTTTTATTCTTAGCAAAAATCACTGCATCAATCCGCAATATAAAAAAAAAATGGATGGCGCCTATAAAATGCTGATTGTATAAAAATCCCCGTTTTCTCTCGATCATTTCAGATGTGGGATGTCATAGAAGCAAAGTTTTTTATGTGCTCAAGGGAGGATTGTTGTAATAACAGTGGATAACATTCTCGGTGTTTAAAAAAGATAGACTGAAAAAAATTGATTGTTATATCTATGTGTGAACATTATTATTTATTTAGTAATATTTGATCCTAATACATTTCAACTGTGATTAATACCTAAGAATTAACCAGAAAGTGTAATGGTGTCAAACAGTGGCGTGACCAAAAAAAAGATACCCCCCCCCCAGCTTAAAAAGTAATTGAATCCCCTAAATTTATTTACCTATAATTGTAGTTACTATTCTAGCTGATTAATATCGTTCATTAACTTCACAGAATAGTGCAAACGCCCTTTAGTTCAAACAAATTAAATCAGGCCCGGCATGTCCAAGTGGTTAGGGCGCTCGACTCACAATCTGAGGGTCGCGGGTTCGAATCCCCGTTCCACCAAACATGCTCGCCCTTTCAGCCGTGGGGGCATTATAATGTGACGATCAATTCCACTATTCGTTGGTAAAAGAGTAGCCCAAGAGTTGGTGGTGGGTGGTGATGACTAGCTGCCTTCCTTCTAGTTTTACACTGCTAAATTAGGGATGGCTAGGGCAGATAGCCCTTTGCGCGAAATTCAAAATAAACAAATTAAAGTGTATGTCTTTCCCCTTGTTGGCAATTCTTAAATTTGTCAGACTCCTCGGTCCTTTTTTTTGGCTCGCTCGCCGCTGCAATTGTGGGGCTGTGGGGGCATACTTAAACCACTGGTGTCAAAAGTCATGAAGAACTCACAGTCAGTTTTGCAGTACGCATCAGGCTAATGGTACATATACTTTTGAGGTTAAAAATCAAACTAGTGAAGTTTGAGAATAGCTGTGACTTTCAAAGAAACCGAACAAAGTCCACATATTTTTTATTTAATAATTTCTAACAGGTGCTAAATATGTGTTTTGTTTGTTTTTAGTTTTTTATATTTTTTTTAAACTACTTACTTCAAGCTTGGAGAAATCTTTAACATTATATCCACACACGCACATTTTATCATATTCTAAGGCCAGTTTAAAATGACGAAGGTACGTTTGTCGGTCACTAATTGTTCCCCCAGTGGCTCATAGGTAAATCTGAAAATTTATAACCCTAAAAACCGAGTTTTGATGCCACTGGTGGGTACAGCACAGATAGCCTAATGTATAGCTGTACGCATAACATCAAACAAAAATCACCAAGAGAGAGACACTAGAGGTTTCCGTAAACTTTTCCTTTTTTAATTAATTTTCAAAAACTTTTAATTTTTATCTCAAACTTTTCTTATTCAGTCTCTATGATTTCGAAATATTCTATATGATTTAAAATTTCGTGAATAAATTACAGCTAGTTTCTGGCTAATTTACCGTATTTTATGCAGAAGTGAATGATATATATTTATTAAACTACTTCTAGAGAGGATATTTCTTTCGTACGCCCTCTAGTGGCTCAGCGGCAAGTCTGAAGACATGTAACACGAAAAACTGGGTTTTATTGCCCGCGATGAAGACAGGAGCTGAATGGAGCAAACGAGTTGAAGTTGAAGGTTGTAGATATATTTCTAATTGCCTGCCAAAACGAGCTTCAAGCTGTAGTCTTGTTAGTTACTGAATAACTTTTCAAGAATGATTCTTAGCAATAAATGTAATAACTATAAACTACTGTAATTACTGTTTAACTCAAAAATCTCACTAAGTACACTGGAGTATCAACATACGCTCTTTGTGAGTTCTTGAACCACAGCTATACATATGTTAATGAATCAATTAACTTACAATGATTTTGGTAAGACCAATATGAATCTGGAGTTCCAAGTTTCCACTACCATCTGAAAACCTCTGAAAAATTGACTGATTATTTGTGATTAAAAAAAAACAAATACTATGTTCATATAGTGTTGTGATAATTATGTGCAATAACTCAGCGTTAAATCTGAAGACTTATAACGCTAAGAACCTGGTTTTGATACCCCTGATGAACACGGCATAGATAACTCATTGTGTAACTTTGTGCTCAACATCAAACAAACCACGTATAAATAAATAAAATATCATCTTGCCTTTCGTTTATAGCTTGCAGCATGGAGTGATATAAAGAAAAAAGTTTAATTTTGGTCGCCCTGTTTCATCCAGTTGCCGAAAAGTTTGAAACATTACACAGTTTAATATTTATGTATGTTTTAGTAATTGACGTTCTCCTTATCTCGCTTCTACGGATCTTCTCTTGGTATATTTCGTAATTCATAAAATGTTGTCTTGAAAACTTCGTAACTCGATACAGTACGATAAAATACAATATAATTATCCGTTTCATCGTAGTGTATAGAAGGGTAGTATAATACTACTTTGGATTTTTTGCGTTATATTTGTATAAGTTTACATACTTTAAAATTTTACGAGTGGTGGTTAGGTGATTTCATCATACTCTGTCTAGAAGGTTATATGAAGTTAATTTAATAATGTGATGTTACAGTTATAGAGGGGCTATTACCATTACCCTAGATTGACCTAAACTTAGGACATATTGGGTTTAAACACTTAAGCTTCACCCATTTTTCAGGTGTTTTTCATGATTAGCGTTTCACCTGCTTTTGATTCTCCAATGGGTTAGCGGTAAGTTTAAGGACTTACAGTTTTAAAATCTGGAACTCGAATCCCTGTAGTGGACAAAGCGCAGATAACGCATTACGTAGCTTTGCGCGAAACAACAATAACACCTGGGTTTAAAGGATAGCTGGAGAGATGGGATATCCCCAATGCTTTTGGATGTTATCAACGCAGTTATCTTTCTGAGATTATACCCTTTATAGTGTTCTGTGATTACTGTAATTCCTCTCACCTGTTTGTGGTTTTGCTACGCGAATTTAATTTTACTATTCATATCTAGTTTAAGGTGCTGAATTATTGGCTCATGTGTTTTGTATTTGTACAAATATGTATGTGTGTACCACGTTTTGAAAGGGTCATTGTTTCTGATAATATATGTCCCTTTTGAGTTATATTAGGACTAAACATGATTGTTGTAGCAGTAATAAAAAAAAAACAACTGGCAACCAAACATCCTTTTACGTAAACAAACTGAGTTCGTAATTTTAGAAGATACGACGATTAACCGGTTATGAAAGTATCAGACAAACTATACAGTTTTAGTCCTACAGTGTCTAGCTTCAAGAAGATCGGGTTGAGAATATTAACTTAGCGCTAGCAGACAGGAAGCCTGCGTAAACGAACAGTCTTCACTGACTTCTCGGCTACGTTGCTCCTAAACCAATTACATATTCTCATACTTATTTGATATAGGAGTTGCCGCGTGTATGAAGTTCATTGGCATTTCTTTTGTTCTTATACTTTAAATTATCATGTGATCATTTTACAGAAATATAATTTGTAGTTATATAAAAATTGAAGTTTTGTTGAATTTCGCACAAAACTATTTGAGGACTATCTGGGCTAAAAATGATAGAATAGAGGGAAAGCAGCTAGTCAACACTACCGCCAACTCTTGGGTTACTCTTTACCAACGAATAGGGATATTGGCCGTCACATTATAACGTCCTCACGTCTGAAATGGCAGACGGGAAAATATCTACACTATTCTTGCTAGGACTATTTAAACTATCTCTCACACGTTTATGGAGTATTTTTCAATTTCGCGCAGAGAAGATGGAAAAAGTTTAGTTATGGTTTTAATTTCGCGCAAAACTTACACGAAGGCTATCTCCGTTGGCCGTCCCTAATTTAGCAGGATAGACTAGAGGGAACGCAGCTAGTCAACACCACCCACCGCTAACTCTTGGGCTACACTTTCGCCAACGAATAGTGGGATTGACCTTAATTTATAATGGCCCAACGGCTGAAAGAGCAGGCATTTTCAGTGACGGGGAGTCGGACCCGTGACCCTCAGATTGCAAGTCGATCGCCCTAACCACCATACCATGCCAAACCTAACAGAAAGAGAATTAACTACAACTGAAGCACCTAAATCTATTTAATACGATCACTATCAGTGGATCTAAATTTAAACAACATTTTCTTCGGCATCTATATTTATTTATTTCACTGCCAAATGAATGCGCACATTTTTTACGCTTTCTGTAAGTAGTCATGATGATACCGGATAAATACCTCACTGAACCGTTGACATATTTTAAATATTCTTTTATATCCCATTTTTAACTGTTTTATACCTTATTTATTAGATTATTGCCAACATTTATGGGATACCACCAGAATTTCAAACCCGTCCAAAAGTATTTAGCATTTAAAAATATTCTTAATAAACAAGAAAAAAAAATCAAACTGCTCAAGAGGAACAAATGAATAAGGAACCATCATAAAAATAAGACACTTCACTGGAAAAGGTGTGTTGTGAAAGTTGAGAGAAAACCGTTTTATCAGTGTAAGTACAATTGT